TAACCAAGTACCAGGAAAAGATTTCCCAACTGTACAACAAAAAGGTCAAGGCGCGAGAATTCTGAATCGGCGATCTGGTCCTCAGAAGGGTAACGGCCAATACCCGTGACCCAACAGAAGGAAAAATGGGACCTAACTGGGAAGGGCCTTATAAAGTGATATCTATCGGAGGCGCCGGGTCATACAGATTAGAAGATATGGAGGGAAAACTTGTAACGCGACCGTGGAATGTGATGAATCTAAAGAAATACTATTTTTGAGTATTTTCTCCCTCAGTGCTTGCCAACGACAAAGATAAAGGGCAAGGCCCTGGGGACAGAGTACAAAGACTCTCGCCCCCGAAACAAACACAGGAGCAAGCCTCCTGGAAGGGCAAGGCCCTGGGGACAGAGTTCAAAGACTCTCGCCCCCGAAACAAACACAGGAGCAAGCCTCCTGGAAGGGCAAGGCCCTGGGGACAGAGTTCAAAGACTCTCGCCCCCGAAACAAACACAGGAGCAAGCCTCCTAGGACAGTTCAAGGATTCCTACCAAAGTATACGCAAAAAAGAATTTAGAAACATGAATCACATTCTATCCAATATTAGACCTTTAAACAGAACTTTGTTCAAAAAAAAAAAAGTACTCCAGGAGAAAAGATTCAATTCAAAAAGAGGGGCTTTGCGTCCCCAAAAGCTACAAGGGAAAAAGTACAAATCAAAAAGAAAAAAGGGCTTTCATCTTGCCCCGGGCATCTCCAAAACATCCGCCGATGGCGAATCGGCGTAGAAAGGTTGAGCAGCTTCGGGAGCAGGCGGAGCGGGAGGTACTTCGGCGACAGAAAGACCCTGAGGAATATTATGGTCCGGGTCCCGGTCCGGCAGGGCCTCATCAGACAAATCCACTATTACCGCCTCAGGCAGATCCACCGAAACTTGCACCGGCGTTGGAATCTCGCCCTCGGCAGCAATCTCTGCTTCGGCCCGTTCCATCTCCGCCGAGGGCACGTACTTGTGCATCTGGAAGAGCGGAGAGTCTGACGGGATTCCAGCAGACTGGAGCGCCTCGTCCCACCCCCTCTTGAAGAACTCCTTGCTGTTTTCCTCAAGAGCAGGGAGCACGTCATCGGCGAACTCTTCTCGGAGTTGCTCCTCGGACTTCCTATTCAGTGCCTCATCCCTGATCCTGTCCAGCTCCTGGGTCAGAGCCAGACAGCTTTCCTCTGAACCAACAGCCCTCTCCTCTGCCGCAGAGAGCCGCTGCGTCTGTTCTGTTATCCTCCTCTCAGCGTCGGCAAGGGCAGCACTTAGCTTTTCAGCGCCGACCTTCGCCAACTCGGCCTCCTTGAGGAGTTGCTCGATTTGAGCAGCCTGCCCCGCGAGGGTGGAATCCCTTGCAGCGACGTCCTCCTTAGCACTGGCAAGGGCTCCCTCGGCTTCTTCCTTCTGCTCTCGAACCCGCTGAAGGTCCATCCTAGTCCCATGGTACCGCGCCGCTATTATGGAAATCTGTTGGGTGGCCTGCAAATGAAAGAGCATGTCACTAAAAGGAAAATTGGGGCTAAAAGAGACTGAAGCAAAGATGAACTTACCACCAAGGAATTTTGGATGATGGAGCGAAACAACACGTTTGTTGATCGCCCCCTGTGAGCCGCCATGTCGGCCTCGAAATGCAGCGTCTCACTCACTGCATTGGCGACATGAGGGTCCTGCAAAATGGAATTGTCGACCCTGATCACTCGGTCCATGTGATCAGTGGCTCGAGGGTTCCACTCCGCAGCTTCCACTGTCTGCGGAAGAGGAGGAGTCTGCTGTCGCCGCTGTTGCTGTTGCTGTTGCTTGTTGTTGCTGTTGCTGTTGTTTGAGGAGCAGGAGGTAACCCACGACCTCTCCCACTTTGCTGCTGAGCGGGGGAGGCCCTGGATCCCCTCCCAAGGCCGTCGTGCCTATGTTTGACCCTCCTCTCCTCCTCTACCTGAGGATCTCGGTCACGCACCTGACCCCGACTGACGACTCTTGAGGAGGGGGTGGCGCTGGTCCCTGCAGATGGGGTCCCACCGGTCGATCCTCGTCCCCTCCCAGCAGCGAGGGCTTGCCTCTGCCTAAGGAACCCTAAATCAATACGGGGCGCGCTGGACATAGCTACCTCAAGGGCGTCCTCGACGTCGAGAGATTGTAGGATTTGGAAGTCCGGCCAGGAATCTCTCCCCGAAGTCCCCACCTCGGCGTGCGAAGGAACCAAGTCCTCTCCGACCCCGAGCTCTTCAACTTCACCCTCAACTTCAGCCTCCGAGGCCCGATCAGGGTCTTCTTCCAAGTTCTCCTCAACTTCTTGCCCCGTCGCCTGATCAAAGAGTTCAGACCACCGAGAAGGCTCGAAAGGCTGGGGAAGCTGCGAAAACTTTTTATACCCGGGGGTGTAATTCAGGAGGATGTGGGCAGCCTGGCCGAGCCCGTCGTCGCCAGTAAAACTCCAAACAGTGATTAAGTCAGCAAAATTCACCGACGATCGGGGTGGAGGTGCTGTTTCCCGAGGGGAGATGTCTGCACAAGCAAAAAAGAGGGGAGTGGGTCATGAGCATGTAGAAAATCTCAGAAACAAAATAATAAGGCCCGAAGGAACCGACGTACTTGTCGTTCTCCATTCCAATGGACATAACAAGCCGTCATACTCGGGACCGACACCTCTCTGCCAAGATCCCCTGAAGATGAGTAGGTCATCCTTGTACCCCTTGTCCGAGTCAGGAAGGTGAGTTACGAGGTACATAGATGGGTCCCTGGCTTTGAGGTAGAAGTGTTGTTGAGGCGTAACTCTCAAAAGGGAATAACAAAAAAGGATATCGTTCAGCCCGACGTTTACCCCAAGACGCCTATTGAGCTCTAGCACCCCCATAATTATCCTAAAGACATTAAGGCAACACTGCCCGGGAAAGAGGTGAAAATGAGAGAGGAACTGGAGAAGCAGAGGGGGCAAAGGGAACCTAATTCCGCCTTCTATAATGGCTTTAATATAAAAAGGCATTGCATCCTCGGTACCGAGGGTACGAGGGTGCACAGCCGCGTCATAATCCTCTACCTCTACATTCGGTGGAACGCCGTACCTAACCCTAAATCTATTAATTTGTTCACTACCTTTTACTTTATACTTCCCTGGCCTCGAAGTACTAGCCTGAGGATTCTCGGGGGCAGAACGACGACGAGGCATGTTCAAGAAGTGATAAAAATAGAGGGGGTTTTTCCACGAAGATCCCCAAGAAGGCTTCCCAGGGGTTGATCGCTGGATGGCAACCAGAAAACACCTCCGGTAATCGAAAAACCAAAAGAGACAGAAGGGCAAAGAAATGGAGGATACTGGAACTCACCAGAGCGTAAAAAGAGGTATTTTCTGGAAAACTTGAATCGATTCCTTCCAAGAATGTTCAGAAACAAAGGATGGGTCTGCTAGCTTTAAGGCTTCAGTGAAAAGGTTGGGCAGTTAACAAACAGAAGGGAAGAGGTCTCCGGCGAAGATTCAGACAAGGGCTCTCTGGAAGAAAAGTTCAGAATGACGAAATGAGAAAAAGAGAGAGGAAGCTCATTTATATAGTACCGGTCTCATCATTGGGCGCGAAACACGAAAGGGCGCATTTAATGCGCACGACGTCCTAAGCAGGAGAAAGCGGCTAGAGGCAATGATGAAGTAGTTGAGGTTGTTGGGAAACCTTTCGTCTCCTTACGACGCGTGTCCTCGGCGTCAGAAGATCGAAGGCTGGGGGGCAGTTGATGGGACTTTTCTGAAATACTCCAATATGAAGACACGTGTCCTCGGCGTCATTAAAAATCCTATTACTGAGATCACGTACCATCGGCTTACAACTTCCTCTCCCCTGAGGTACTTGACACGTGGTCAAGTACGTTTTACGAACCGACACGTATCTCTCTGTCTGATATGGTGCCTCGGTCGTCATGTACAGTTTCCCTCGGCTCGAGATGTACCTATCCTCGGTACTGAGATGTACCCCCGTCCAGGATGCCTTTTCTCTGCTCCAGTATAAGCTATTGATGTACAGGTCATTAGCCTAGGCTAGTCTAGGTTAGCTATCATGGTCTCGTCTTACACAATTGGTGTCAGAAGGCACAGGAAGGCAGGGTCCACAGCCAATGAGGGATGGACGCGTGGCAAATTGTGTCACATCAGAGACAGAAAGACCGCATGCCCTTACTGACACGCGACTTGGGAAAGCAAACATTTAATTACACCATTCCCTTGATGAGACCGCATTCAATGCGGTAAGGCTCGGAATTGAAAGACAATAAATGTCTCTGAGGCTGGGTATTTATTGCATCCTCCCCGAGTGGAGCTCATTGGACAGTCGGCAGCCCGATGACACAGCATTGATTGCTCGGGACTCCGAGCAGTTAAAGAAGAGAAGACATTCTTCATCAGAATCAGTGCGCACACTGCTTGTACCTAATGATTACCTACTGACAACACTGACAGCAATCATGAGTTTTTGAGGTATAAATACTCATCGTAAAAGACAAGATGGTATGGAACAAAAAAAACTCTTTACTACGAAATATACTCAGTGCTTTCTTCTTTCTCTCCCATTAAAAAACTGACTTGATCGTCGGAGGGGATAAGCCGGAAAACACTCCGGCGCCCTTCTAACTTGTTCTTCTTTGTTCTAGGAACCTTTCTCCAGCCTTACTGGATCGTTCCTTCAATCCACGAGGGTCTCCCGTTGCCGTTCCAGGTTACCATCGGACCTCACAGGCTGTCCCAAGCAGCGTGGTTGACCACTCAACTGATTCACTCGAGTTCACCAAGGGAGAGATCTGTTCTCGTTTTTTATATTGTGCAAGATCCTGCACGCACAATTGGTCAAAGCTTTGGTTCAGTCTACCTCTCGTGGGAAGCTTTATGGAAATTTACTCCTTTATATTTTTTGATACTAGAGGATATGGTTTCACATATCCACTTGCCCGAATATTTGGTTGCAGAGTTATTTGCTATACACATTACCCAACCATAAGTTTAGACATGCTATCTTGTGTTAAAGCACGAAATTCCATGTATAACAATGATGCCTTGATTGTAAAGAGGTGTTTGTTTTGCAATTGTTTTAATCCGCTTTATGATATGTTCTTCGAGTACAGGCTTCTTCTTTTGTTTTTTTTATAATATTTTGGGGTTGGGGTTGGGGCAGGGGTGGGGAGGGGAAAGGGGACTTGAACCCTTAACCTCAACGAGATAAAATCTTTATAAGATAAGAAGTACCGTTGAACTAAATGCTCATTGGTGACTTCTTTGGGTTGCTTCTATAGGGAGCTTTTTGTGGACTTTGTTCTATTCTTATGTGAAGCTCACAAGAATTATTTTTGTGAGAGTGTTTTGCCATCTTGGTGCAAAGTCATGTATTATACCTTTTATAGCTGGACGGATGGGATTGTAGGCTCTTGTGCAAACCTTGCTATGGGGAACTCTTCATGGACACACTGTCATATTGAGAAGCTTTGGAAAATTACAGATTATTGTCCTCCTTGCGATACTTTGGGGTTGCAGGTTAGAAAATTCTTAGTTTCTTCTACTTAGTCATGCTCTGTTTGCTACTTGAGAATTCTCTTTGACATATTTTGCTTATGTACATCCACGTGGATTCTAAACTACTGCAATTTAAACAGGTGCTTCTACTGGAAAGGTCAATAAACCCTCCAAAACTTATTTCTGTGGCTCAATTTCTTCCGGAGAAGGTGGGCATCTTTACATAAACTTTATGAACTCAAGGTACTGTAGCTTTAGCGTTTGAAAATTCGGGTCCTTTAGAAATCATGGTAAAATTACCTATATACTTGGTTCTTGTGTTTCAGGCACACAGTCTTCAACTTGAGGCATTTTCAGTTGCCATCAAGAAATTGGATTCTGAATTTCCTAGACCTAGACTCCAGTTTGTTGGTAGTTGTCGGAATGAAGCAGATGAGAAAAGGTTGCAGAACTTAAAAGACCCAACTGTTAGACTGAAGGTGGAAGAGGATGTGGATTTCTATAAGAATGTGACGTACAGCTTTATTTCATTTCACTTTATATTTTGATTACTGCTAACACATTGGTGAAGATTTGATAATAATTTGTTCATTGCCTTTGGAAAGTACCATGCTGCTGCAAGGGTTCGAATTGCCTAGGAAGAATATGGTGCACTTGTTGAGAATCATTAACAGTAATTCGTTATCTTTCTTTATGCCTGTGGTAAACATGTTCATAATGATATGATTTGGTTGTGTGGTTTCCTTCTGTCTTTGATCCAAATCCCAACTCAAAGTCAGCAGACTTTGAGTTTTGAGCTGGTGCCAAAGTGGTTTCCAAGGTTTCATATGTTCACATCAGTAACTTAACTTTGTCACTGACTACTTCTTTCTCCGTTGTGAACAGCTACTGGTGCTTGAGCCCTAGTCCTAATACGTCGGACTATGGCGTGGACCAAGGGCCGGCAGCGATTTTCCCTGGATGAAAGGTGTGAATTTATTTGAATTCTGTAGCAATGTACAACTGCATAAGAACCTTTATAATTTATTTCAATAGATCTCCTTTTGTAATTTTTCTTATAAAATTCTAAAGAATAGCTCTCCTTTTTTCATTTCTACTACAGAGATTCGGGGAGGCTTTTGGGTGGTGCAATTGCAGGGATCCATTCCATGACAGATGAGCATTTTGGCATAAGCATTGTAGAGTACATGGCAGCCGGCACCATACCAATTGGTTGGCCTTTTAGTGGTTACTGTGTTTGATCACATTATTTTTCCACAGAGAATATATGCGCGGGTAACTAGAACTGCCTCTTTTTTTTTTTTTTTTCCCAGCTCATAAATCTGCTGGCCCAGAGATGGACATTGTGTTGGCTGAAGACAGGGAAGCAAACTGGATTTCTTGCCCAAAATGTGGAAGAATATGCAGATGCCATTTAAAAATAAGAATGTGGAAACCGAGAGATTTGAGATGGCTGCGGCTGCAATGAAACTGGCGGGCAGGTTTTCAGAACAAAGATTTTATGAAGATATTAAAGCAGCTGTTCGTCCAATTATTTGCTATACTTCCAAGTGATGAAAAACCAAAAGATGTACACTTGTGAGTTAAGAATAGGCGATCCCAATCTTAATTTTCAAATAGAACTTGATAGTGTAAAAAATCGAAAAGCATGAGGTGGGTGAGCTGATGATCTCTAGATGAGGTGCGCTATTCTTGTGTGCTAAAGCATGAAAATTAAGTGGTTCGCTTAATTGAAGAGTTGAGTTAGTACACTATAATGAAGACCATTACTCCTCGCTGGTGTATTCCTTGAGAAAGATTTCCCCTTATCTTCATGCAGCTTCTTGGGCCTTTTTTTATACAGTGATCATTGCCGTTTATAATAGATTTGTCACAGAATAATTGGTGTTACGTGGCTTTTTAGAAACAGTAACTTATTGTCAAAGGTAGGGTTTGATGGCAAAAGTCATTTTTTTTGCCTCTTATGGTAGTTTCTATGTTGTTTGTTCTCATTGCTGACTTGGAAAACTATTGACTCGGCATATGCTGACTTGTCTTGTCTTGATCTACTCGACTTCTATTTGATTTGTTTAAACTGTAAATTTTTTTGGTATCAACAAAACTAAAGAAATCTAATATTTTCTTTTTTCTCCCATGTGATAAACAAGGTTGTTATCAAGCAACAAAATATCATTTGACTTAACCACATTGGACATGATAGAAAGCAAAGGGTTAGCGACTTACTAGAGTACTATCAAGGTATTGATGGAAAGCTATGAAGGGACCTCAGTAGGTCACGAAGGCCCATTTTCATCCCTCTCTGGCGGAGGGGACTTGCTCCATACTAGTATTGAGTTCTCTGATAATTAATTGACCTCAATGGTATGTTTCTTTTGCTCCATCATATGCACTGGTCAACAACTTCACATTACATGAATCCGGAACTATTAGAATATGCCTGAATGAGAGTCTGAATCTTCAGCCAAGGATCCAATTTGTACCCTTGTCGTTTCTGATTCTAGTGTTAAGCTAAAATAGTGCACGAAAAAGGAGATTGTTAATCATAGGATGTGCAAGCACAAGCAAATAAAAAATGCAATCCAATGCATGATAATTCCGATTTTGATAGAGTAAGGTGTACGCCACTCTTATCATGGAGAAAGATAATTCCCATTTCTCGAACACGTGAAAGCTTCAGACAAAATACACTGATTGGTAGTGGGTCAAAATTGGCTATCGGATAACCTTTGTTTGAGCTCTCGTGGCTCAACCCTTTATGGCTGCTGTGTTTATCTTCTTTGTACCACAACTATCTGGCATGTTTATCATATCTCCTATATATCTTCTTATGCTCCACCAAAAATCCATTTTCATTAGCTGCCGACTTGTACCAACACCCCCCCCCCCCCCCCCACCACCACACACACACAATGCCAAATTCCAAAATACAATGCACCCAAATCTGGCACATTTCAATCTTGGCACCAATTACTACTTGTTTAAGATTTTTGTTCATCTGGGGGAAGCAATGGGACCATGAAACATAAATGGAGTACTTCACTTAAGAACTCGTAGAAGAGAAGGAAAAGTGGGAATCACAGAGACCACACATTACACTGACATACATACACATTGAGTGGCAGATTACTTGTATCAATTTTCTAAACTCTCTTTATGGTGGAGAGAGGATGGTGAAGGGGGGGGGGGGGGTGATTTGGGCCCCTACAGCTATGACTTGGGAGGTGATTGTAATTAAAGTTGTTTTGTTTTCTTGTGCAGGACAGTCATAGTCAAGTAGAGTTCATTCATATACAGTGAATAAACCAAATATCAATGAGATATGATTGGTCTGGCCACACATTAGATCCACTAGAAGGGACATTAGATAGATGGAGTAGATCTCCTCCAGAAACCAAATCTTTTTATTGGAAAATACAAGATTGCACCATTCAAGTTGAGTATAACTTTGTGCAATGATAATTTCAGCATTACCTCTTGTTGCTCAAACCTAAGATAATTAATTACATTCTTCTTTTTTTTTAACTATTTTTTCTGGTGGGAGAGGATGGTGAGACTTGAACTTGCGATCTAATGGTTCAATAGTGGGTTCCGGTGGTCATTAAGCCAACCACTAATCCTCACCGCTCCTGTCCCTTCTGTTAATCTTTGGTTAGCAAATGTATGGAGAACAAAAAGATTGAAAATATATAAATTGAAGATTTTGGAGTTGAGTTAATAATGGCAGTGGGTACACCCAAGATAAATAGATTATGTTTTAATAGAAAAAAGAATCTTGGAGCACAATGATAGATTATGATTCGTATAATCGACCTAAAATAATTGGAAAAAGTTTAGCTAAGTTGAATTGAGTGTCATTACAAACCCAGTAATAATTTTCTAAACACATCTGGAGTTGACAATTACTAACAATGTAGGCCTGCCACTTATTCCACAAATGTAAATGCTGATTGTCACAGTATCAACCATATGTATGTCCTATTGGGTTAGTTGCAGACAGCAGACCCTTCAACTTTTGTCCTCCAGATCTTTTGCTGTTACTAGGTCAATATAAATCAAATATTCCCAGACTCTACAATAGCCCCAGTAATCACTTGGGTGCTCCTCCCACTTCTCTGTTCTACTGTCTCAACTAAGTTTTTTTTGTACGCAATGTAACGTCAGTCTAACCACGCTTTTTTTTCTATTTATGATTGTAACGCATATTTTAGATGTACACACTTGCTCTTAAACTATGTCCATACATAAAACTTGAACTTTATGCATTCTGATCAACCACGCATCCCTCTAATATCTGCACTTTCTCATAAACTATGTGCATACACAAAACTTGGGACTTCATGTATTTCGATCGTATTTTTTTTGACTTATGGTTGCAAATGCCTCAAATATACGCACTTGCTTGTAAAGTATGCGCATACATGAAACATGAATTTTATGTGACCAGAGATATTCACAACTGAACCAACCCATACATTACTCTTTTGTCCATGGTCCGTGAACATCTAATTCTATCAGTGCTCCGACAGAGCATGCTATATTGAATATCATTTAAGATTCTTTACGGCTCAAACTGTTTGTTAGCTACTGTGAAAATGGTCATATTGAGGTGACTGGTGGATAAGGCCAAAACCCTATTTTCATTTGACCAATTAAAGGTTACAAGATATCACACCAATCACTATCAATACATGAAGATCACACATTATTAGTGCAGTAACTGTAGAAGTAGATCGAGATGTGATAAAAAAAAAAAGCTTAGGATATAATGTCTGTTAGGTTTGAGGACAGTTTTGTTTGCTGGAAAATGGCAGATTGCTTTTGTTCTGGTTGGCCTGATGAGGCAGCTTGGGCTGAATGTCCAGCTTCAATGAACAAAGACTCTTCTTTTCCATGGCTTCGTCCGAGTGATTCTTCTTCATTCCAGTTTAATGGCAGCCCTTCTGTCTTTCATTCATGGCCGACGCCGTTCGTAGCGGTTGGAGAAGACAGATCTGCAAGTGTTTCTAATAGCCATAGTCAAGCAGAGAAGAGAAGAAGGGATAGGATCAATGCTCAGCTTTCTACCCTTAGGAAACTAATTCCCAAGTCTGACAAGGTAAGCTTTTTCGCTCTCGATCTTTCCAGTCAAGGCAAAACGTGTCGTCTACAACGCAAATCTCGAATAGTTTTGTCTTGTTTTAATATTTGATTATTAAATCATTTATACAAGCATGTTACACGAGCTAAATTGGGTCATTTCATAAAATTTTCATCGTCTTTGATTTAATGGGTGCTTTGAAATGGGAATTCACTATCAAGAAGACATTGCAACACGCAGATGTGTGTGTATGTGCACGCACAAAGACCTTTTGGGTACAAAATTTATATTGGACACATAGTATATATGTCAGTACTAGAGGCACATCTTCTGTAATTAAACAGTTTTGTTCGAAATGTTCCAGGACTTTATTGACTTGGTCAGGAAAAAAAAAGAAGTTACTCTATTTTCTTACAATATTTTTTAATTATTAATTTAATTATGAATTCAACTTGAAATTGAATTCTATTTAAATGGGTATGGGTTGACATAGATATGTTAGTAGCAATTATTGATCAACTTGAGAGCGAGGCATGTTGGGAATGAGTCGAGACTTATGATTCAACAACCAAGTCGGAGACTACTGGACGTCTCATGAAGCCACTTTCAACGAGGACATTGAGACTAATTAACGGATCACTTGGCTTCAAAAATGATAAGGTTGCATATGAAGGAAACCAAATTTTAGAACGATTTTGTTTAGCAGATTTATGGTTGCACTAAGCAATTAGAGAAAACCAATAGCTATGCCAAATTATGGCGGGTTTTTTTTTTTTTTTCTGAAGTATATACGAGGCTTTTGTTACTGTGAGATTGGAAATGATTTGATGAACGTAAGTTTTATTGGCATGCAGGAAGACTGTTTTTGTAAATTTTGTTCTCAATCACCTAAGGCTGATAAAAATGTCTTGGTGCAGATGGACAAGGCAGCCTTGTTAGGCAGTGTAGTTGAACATGTCAAGGATCTGAAAAGAAAAGCAATGGAAGTGAGCAAAGTCTCAACCGTTCCAACAGACATTGATGAAGTGACAATCGACTTCGATTTCGATCAAGCTTCTTCAAGCTCCACCAGCTGTAGCAAAATTAGCAAGGACAATAATATCTTCATCAAGGCTTCAGTCTGTTGTGATGATAGACCAGAACTGCTTCAAGAGCTCAGCCATGCCCTCAAAGGCCTTCAGCTAACAACAGTTCAAGCTGATATTACCTGTTTGGGTGGTAGAATTAAGAGTATTTTGGTCCTTTGCAGCAAAGATGGCAAAGAAGGTGCATGCATGAACACTCTCAAACAGTCCCTTAGAGTAGTATTGAGCAGAATTGCAGCATCGTCCACCGCCTCAAGTTATCGGATAAAAAGCAGAAGGCAGAGGTTCTTCTTGCCCACTGATCATTAATATCCTCAAGCCTTAACCATCTTACTAGTCTTCCATCATCGGTCTTGGTCGAGTTTGAAATTTTCTTCCCTTGTTCTATTCCACCCTGTGACATGAATATGAATGCTCAGTGATCTCTCAAAGTTTGTGAAGATTCATGGATGGTCCTTGTAGGGAAGCAAGTTATCATGTTGTAGATTAGTGTGGTTCCTGAGGAGCAATCGAGCTCCTCTTCATGTAACACTAGTAGAAAACAATATGATTCATTACTCATTAGACGATTTTATATATTCTATGGGAAAAAAAATCCAGTACTGTACAAGGGTTGTAACTATAGTTAAGTGGTATTACTGTTTTATTCTCATTTTGATAATGAGGAAGGATTGATTCCAAATTTAAACGTATTATATGTACAATAGTCGAGCTATACTTTTAAGTTCGTCTAAAAAAACGAGCTTGACTCGTGTTTGCAAAGGTCAACTTGATAACAGTCCAAGAGGGAAGTTGGATGTGTAGTGGTGACTAATACAATTTTTGGGAAAAGCTCGAGAAAATATTTAGAAGGCTTAGCTACTTTCCAAATTCCAATCTTTCTTCTATCAATGCTTAATTCTCTTGGTGTTTTTTTTTTCATTAACCTTCTTTCAGTCAAATTCTTTCATAATAGTTGCTCCTGCACAGAGTTATCTATATACGTGATTGTAAAGACTGAATTAGAGAGAGGGTGAGGGGAAGAGACATTGGAGTGAGGAGAGATGGTTTGGTGTGGTTAGTAGAGTTATGACTGGTGAATGGGGGCAGTGGATGGCTGAGAGACAAAGAGAGTACTACAGACATGTAAAAGACAATGTCTAACCTCTATGATAACCTAATAGGGGCTTTGCACACGACATTTGCGTGCCTAATTAAAAATGATAATTATAAAAGAGTGGGATAATTATAAAAATGTTCTTCATACCAAGAGTAGTTTTGTCAACACGCGAGCACTTCGGGGCTGTTTGGATAATTTGTAAGAGAGAAATTGAATTGAATTTATGAAACTTCTCTAAATTCACTTCTTAAAATTTGCTCATGGGATTTAACAATGTATTATATCTAATTATATATTTAGTAAATGACGCAAATATAAATAGGATTGTTGAGTTTCTTAGAGAGAATTGTCTCGCACTCTTAGATATTCTCTACTTTCTCATGTGTGTTGGTTTCGGGTATAAGTACTTTTATGTTGAAAATCGAATTTTTCGCGAGGGGATGGCATGGGTTATTTTAGTGTCGTAATGCCTGGCATTCCAACATTGGTTCAGACATAAATTTTACATATGGGTTTGTTCCGGGCTGAAGTTCAAATCCCAAGCCTACAATCTATGCAACCAAAGAATAAGATAGTTTATTAAATTATTAGAGAATAATGCTATTAAAATTGAATTTATTAAACATTTGTACTTATTATAGATCCAATAATAATAATTATAAAGAAGACAAATCATTATATCAGCAAAGTCTTGTTTTTAAAAAACTCATTTTATGAATCCACCAAAACCCAATGAAGCAAACAGGCCAGAACGATGGCTTCACTCAATTCAAACTCCTCTCCAAAACCTTTCTCTTTCTCTCCTCTTTTTTACATAGACCCTAATTCATAATCATATGTCATTTCTTCCATATTCCAATCTCCGACTGTATATATACAGAGAATGAAATCAAGGGAACAGAAGGTGGGGCTAAGATCAAGAGGTTCATGGAGTCCACAAGAGGATGAAACTCTGTTGAAGCTGGGAGAAGGACACGGCCCTAGCAATTGGTGTCTGATAAGCGCCGGCATAACGGGCCGGTCTGGAAAATCATGCCGACTAAGGTGGTGCAACCAGTTGAGGCCGTAAGTGCAACACCGCCCATTTACTCCGGCAGAGGATAATTGGCAACAGATGGGCCACTATTGCACGCCTCTTGCAGGTCGCACGCCGCCAAAGACGAAATGGCAAGTTATCTTCTGACTCGAACAAGGAACAAAGAGACCGGAACTGTTTGGTTTTCTCTCAAAAAAATAATATTCGAAAATTATTTTTGAACTAGAGTTTTAAAAAAATATTTTTAAAAATTTTTAGATTACAAAATTTAATTATATATTTTTAAAAATAATTTTAAAAAATAAAATTTATTTGAATAATAATCCACAATTTTTCCACAGTTTCTCAACAGTCTCTCTCACTTTCGCTATGTATCACCCAACACTAACAACTGAGAACCACCGTCAACCCCAACACCCACAACCACCATCAACCCAAACCGAGAACCACCCAAACCTACCACCAAGACCACCGTCAACCCAAGCCGAGAACCACCCAACAACCACAACCACCACCCACAACCACAACCACCACTAACCCACACCTAGAACCACCCAATACCCACAACCACCACCACCACCACCACCACCACCACGCAAATCAAGAACCACCCAACATCCAACATCCAACACCCACAACCACCACCAACCCACACCGAGAACCATCCAACACCCACCACCCACCACCACCTAAACCGAGAACTACCCAACATCCCACAACCACCACCAACCCACACCAAGAACCATCCAATACCCACAACCACCACCACCACCCAAACCGAGAATCACCACCCAACACCCATAGCCACCACCAAAGGATCTGTACTTCCGGTCACCGGCTCTATGAGTTGAAGACACAGCCATGGTGTCGGCACAAGAGAGGGAGAGAAGTCAGAGAGAGAGATGAGGGAAAAAGAATGCAAAAAAAAAAAAAAAAAACTTTTATATTTATACAATAAGTGCACAGTAAATAGATTTGTGCGTTATCCGTGTTTTCAAAATCTTCAAATAAAATTCAAAAAACAAGTCTGCCGTTTTTTATTCTAAATCTCATTTTTTTTTTAAATTTTGAAAATAAAAATGTTTGGAGTATTTTTAAAAATTTTGAGACCAAAAAATTGTTTTACATATGCAAACCAAGGCCGGGTTTTTTCGGCAACTGGGTCATTTGAGACTGACTCGGTTGTGAAGAGGCTGAGTTTGGCGGCATCGCCGGAGGACAATTGTTGCGATAGGCCTGAGACGTGGCTTACGTTGTCATTGCCGGGGGAGGTGACGGTTGTCTAGCCGGAAGGAGAAGAAATGGTGGTAGAGGGGAATAGGAGAGATCGATGGTGGAGATTGAAGAGCCTTGTTGACGCTCATGCAGCGCATGATAGCATACGAAGTCCGGGCTGAAGAAAAGTTTGGGTTTGGGCTTGGGTTAAATCTTTCATCCGTAATTGTGTAAGCATTATCTCTAGAATGGTTGATTTTGTTTCTTTCATTTCCCTAATTCCTTTATTATTCTTTTTTTGGTTGATTATTTCTTTTTCTGACCTCTCTGATCTTTTATGAATTAGTCCATTAGTCTCTCAGTTACTTGAGGTTTCAACCATAATTTTATGGGCTAATGTCTCTTTGCATATCGAAAGATACTTCCATTTTTAATTTGTATCTTTAAATATTAAAAATTTTATTTTATACTCTCAATATTATGAATTGATAGTAATGTAAATCTTGTCTAGTTGACTGTTCAATTTTTGTTATATTGAAACATGAGTTGTAAATACTTTTGTAATGGGTTTATGCATAAATTTACAGTCTATTAGCGTATCATGTGAGTTGTACATGATAAAGTTAGCTTCTATTTAATTAATAAAATTTTATTTTTGAAACATAAAATAATGCCAAATTAATCGCAGACAAAAATTTGTAGTGATGAATACACCTCATCCTAATACCCGAAACACTTGTAACTTATGTGTTACAATTTATGACAAAAAATTGAACAACAGTCGTAGAAGGGTCCACATTACTATCAATTCATAATATTAAAGGTGCAAATTAAAATTTTTAATGTTTGAAAGTATAAATTGAGAATCGAAATATTTTTCAAGATGTAAAGTGACATTAATCCTAATTTTATTTATGGGTGAGGTTATTCATTCTTTTTATACTCACCTCATTAGTAACTAAGTTTACTCAATTCTATTTTCACCCTATTAATAATAAAATTTATTTCAATTTTTACTTTTAAGATTTCTTTACACCCATCTCACACAGTCTTTACACAAAATATATTTAATTGGATTTCACTTTGTGTTTCTTTCATGCAAATTGCTTCAACTGTCATCGTCCAATTTCTATCTTCTCCGATCTCATTGTCGGTATAATACTTTGATTCCGCTTTGTGCTTCTCTTTCTTCCTTTCTTAATTGTAAATTGAAGCAATTCATAAAGAAAATGATCTTCTTCACACGCAATTTTTTTAATACATAGAAAAAAATCTCTTAGAGTTTTCGTTGGAGGTCATATTTGAAGCTAAGTTTCTTAAAAAGGGAAAAAAAAAAGATCATCAAGTCTCTCTCCATAAATCACACAATTTATACATAATTGTTTATTCAATTTTAATAGATTATTTAGTTGAATATATTTTGTATAAATTATGTGAGATAGAATATACAAAGAAACCATAAAAGTAAAGATTGAGATAAATTTAATTATTAATGGGGAGGTATAAAATGTGGTGGACATAATTAGTAAGTGGGGTGGATATATATTAAATGACTTAGTAGTTTTATAATGATTAGTTTAATGGAGTGGGAACAACCCCAGCCTTTATTTATTAGACAAGATTGATACTGAAAAAGAAACTTTTGTACCATACTTTCAAATTTTGATACAAATTTTATAATTTGTTTACAATGTACAATTTTTGGGTTAAACATTTAAAATTTAAATTGTAACTTTTTTAGGTTAAGTTACAACTTTTTTAATAACTTGTTATGGATCCTAAATATGTTAGAATTGATCCTAAAATCCCAAGTCGTCGCAAAAATTATAAAATGATCCTTCAAAACTATAAAAAAAAATTACAAAAATTGTAATGAAAGTACAATACCATTTTTTTTTTTCAATACCGTGGAGTTCTTATTCATTTCTTTTTGTTTTTAGACCGTTGAGCTTGATATAGTGTTACATGGATTAAGTTTCTTATTTATTTTGTTGCACCAATGACAATGGCACACACGACTTTAAATATGCAGAACCTTGGCAGAATTATGTCAAACCATACAAATAGATGGGCTCCCAATGGCAACGACACAAATTTAGAACGAAAAAGATTTTACTTGGGGTAAATTACATCCATCATCTATGAAGTTTGTTCAAATAACACTATCTTCTCCTCTGTCACATTTGTCTTGTTTTCATGCCTAAATTTGTTAAAAGACTATAATAACCTTCAGTCCCTTCTTTCGTCAAAAGCTATCTTCTCCGTTTTTCACTTTGTCGCCCA